CTACTCCTCCTACTCACTCACCACCATCCATCACTCACTCCCGCTAATCCCCGCCGTCAGAGTACACAGACAAAGGATTCAAACTTCACGGCTTTGGCACTGTCAGTGTCTCGACTCAAATCAATAATATATTCAATCACACTACATATTCTTTTCTTGCTCTCTCGCTTTAGGTCTATAAAAAAGAGATAAAATAGAAAAACCCAGCTTAATAACTATTATTAAAATATAATATACCTCACCCATATATAAAAAAAAATACTACTATATATGGGCTTAAGGCAGTCGAGGTATTTTCGACATTGTTCCTTTCACTTTCTTCTCTCGTCTACCATCACACACCGGACAACCAATGTTCATTATTTATAGCGGGACGTAGCTGACGAACCACTTAACACAAAGAGACAGACAGACATATACCGAGAGGACTCCGAAACGGCCTCCGCCCTAAATTACATCCGCCAACTGACACTCACGACAACATAAACGGATCGCACGCCAATCTTAACATTTACGGGCGTGGAAATGGGCGGCAGAGCAATGTTCAGGGGATTGCGCCCGCATATAATTCGCCACTAGATCTAGACGGCCACTGCGATGTTTATACATTAGATACGACCCCACTCGAGGCTCTACCCATAAGGATAAACTCCCGCTCCCGCAGAAGATGGGCATGGGGAAGAGATGGGAGAGAGATATAATAAGAATAGAGGAGAGGGGAGGGAGAGTGAGAATGAAGAGAAAAGTGAGTATCAGAATGAGTAGAGAGAGAGGAGAGAGAGAGAAAGATAGGAAAAGAGAAGAGAGGAGAGAGTGGAGAGAAGAGAGAGAGAGAGTGGAGAGAAAGAGGAAAGAGGAGGGAAATGGAAGGAGGCGGAGAGAAGAGGAGAGAAGACACGCGCGAGCCAGAGACCACCCACGGCGACAGAGCACGAAGTGATCGAGCCCTAACCGATTCGACAACGGCCGCTATGGACGATTTAAGCGGTGAAATTTTTACCCATTTTCATTCGACACACGCGGCAGCGACCGCGAAACCGCCACAAACAATCCTCCCGCGCGGTTATGTGGCTGATGCTCCGGCGTCCCTGTGCTCTCCTCGGCCTTCTCCTCTACTCTCTCATTCCTCTCCGCCTTCTCTCCCTACTATCATCTGGTCTCTCTCTCTCTCTCTCTCTCCCGCCCCTCTCAGACTCTTCCTCGCCTCTCTCCCCTCTCGGCTCTAGTCTACATACCGTCCCTCACTCCCCAACAAAAACAACCACACCCCCCAACAACCCCACACCCCCCACTAAACAAAATAAAAATCCCGACGCTCGCTAAGCTCACGCGCCCCCCCCCCCCCCAGGGACCCCCCCCCCGCGCCGCTTTCTTACTTCTTCTCGGTCCGCCTCTCTCTCTTCTCTCTCTCGTCGGCCTCGCCTTCTCTTCTCCTCACTCGTCCTCTCTCTCTCTCTCTTCTCTCACTCCTACCCATCCCCGACTCTCTCTCTCTCGCTCCTCGCTCTCTAGCTCTCTCTCTCTCTCTCTCTTTTCTCTATCTCTCTCTCTCTCATTCTGCTCTTCTCTCTCTTACTCTCTCTCTCAATTCTCTGACCCTAATCTCTCTCCTCTCTCCCCCCTCCTATCTTTCTCCCCTCACTCTTCCTCCTCGCTCCTCCTCCTCCCTCTCTCAACGGATGGCGCGTCTCTCTCTCTCCATTCGTCTTTCTCTCTTTTTTCCCCCTCACTCTCTCTTCTCTCTGCGTTGTCCTCTTCTCTCCAATCCTTCTCTCTCGTCTTCTCTCCTCTCTTCTCCTCTCTGCCTCTTTCTTCCCCTCTCTCTCTCTCTCCCTCTTCTCGCTCCTCAAATCTCCTTCGTCGTCATTCTCGCTCGTCTTCTCTCTAACCTCTCTCTCTCTCTCTCCTCTCCTCTGCTCTCTCATTCTGCTCCTCTCCTTCTCCTCCGATCGGCCTGCACGGACTCGCTTCGTCTCTCGGTCATCCCTCGTCTCTCTTCCTGCCTCCTCTTACCAGGTAATCCGGCGTCGCACAGTCAGGCAAGGAACCTCAACTTCACCTGACCTGCGAGTGTTCGACTCGAACGCTCTTACTGTTTGATGAATCTTTTAGAAATTTTGCGTGCTACCGTGGTAGTCCGAGCCGTCATGTGACAGTTTTCTTCGCATCATACTACTCCCCTCTCTCTTATTTCTTCTCTCTTCCTTTCTGCTCTCTCGCTCTAGTTCTTATCCAAGCCAAGGTGATATAAAGCTACTGAAAACAGCATATATATATAATATATATATATATATATATAATATGTATTATGTTATAAGATATATATGTATAGGTAAATGTATTGATATTGAGTATATATATATATAATATAAGTAATATAATAATGCAGGTGTGAGTATTATTCGTGCGATTGTTCCTTTCACCGTTTTCTTTAGTCTGGGTAATCGATAGAAAAACGGACATCAATGTTCATTATTTACTAGCGGGACGTAAGTGAAAATTTTAATGGCGCCTCATAGATTATTTCATCGGAGCCGATCCGGTCCCCTAAATAACAATGCATGGCAATTACAACACGCATGCCTGGTGGTCGCCGCATGCCTCGATCGGACGCAAATTAAATTGTTACGGTCGGCAGTGAAATGGAGGCGAGAGCAATGTTCGAGGCTTGTCGTCTAATACTCCATGTCTGCAGCGGGCTGCGTGGTTTTATATGTTAGGGACCTGCTCTATAGATAATCCGTCGGAAGATGGATGGGGAAGAGGAGGAGATCTATATACGAGGAGAGAATAGAAGCGAGGGAGGGAGAGGAGAGATGAGATGAGAAAGTGAGACAGAATGTGAGTAGGAGAGAGAGAGAGAGAGAAGGAGAGAGAGAGAGAGAGAGAGAGAGGAGAGAGAGAGGGAAGAAGGAAGGAAAGAGAGGAGAGAGAGTGGTGGAAGAAAAGAGGAAGAGAGGAATAAGTAAGAGAGAGGAAATTGGAAGCAGGCGAGAAGAGAGAGAGAGAGAGAGAGGAGAGAGAGCGAGAGAGGAGAGAGAGGAGCGAGAGAGAGAGAGAGAAGAAAGGGGAGAAGAAAGAGGACGGAATGAGGCACGAGGTGATCGCTAACGATTGCAGCGCTATGGGAATTTTAACGTGAAAATTTTACGCCATTTTCATTCGACACAGCACGCCAGGACGGGTCCACACGAAGCATCGTACATTTAACCGGATATCCGGGGTTATGTGGCTATGATGCTGGGTGTCCTGTTGCTCTCTCCGGCGGTGTCTCCTCCTCCTCGCTCATCTCTCTCCTCTCCTCTACCGCTGTCTAATACCTATGTCTCTTTCATCATAGATAGAATACCGTTCCACCGCATCACAGCCGCCTCGCTAGCTCCACCTTCTACCTCTCTCGTCCTCGTCTTCTCTCCCTCTCTCTCTCTCTTTCTGTCTCTCTTTCTTTTCTTTCTCTCTCTCTCCTCTCTTCGTCTGCGCTCTCTCCTCTCCTCTTCTTCTTCTCATCTTGTCTCTGTCTCCCTCAGCCTCCCTCTCTCTCACCTCTCTCCCTCTCTCACCGTTCGCCTCGCTCCCTCTCTCTTCTCCCCCTCACTCACTCCTCTCTCGCTATCCTCTCCCTCCCTCTCTCTCTTCGTCTTCCGTTCTCCCTCTTTTTCTCTCTCGTTCTCTCCTTTCTCCGCCTCAACTTTCTCGTCTCCTCTGCGTTCTCTCTTTCTCTCTCCTTCTCTGCTTCTTTTTCTTCCCCTACTCTCTCTCTTCTGTCCCTCCCTCATCCAGCCCCTCCCCCATTCAGCATAGTCGGAGGCGTGCGTCTAGGAAGCCAGGCGCAGCGCGGCAGCGGAGTGTGTCGGATAACCAGCTCCACATGTCCAACAACTGTTACAACACGAGGGTTCCTCCTCTCTCGTCCAGCCCCTCCCCATCATTTAGCCCCTCTCCCATCCAGCTCCTCCCTTATCCAGCTCCTCGATTTAGGCCCTCCTTTATCAAGCCCCTCATTTATCCAGTCCCTCCCCCGTTGATTCAGCCGTTCCCCCGTTGAACCCCCCACCCCTCATCAAGCCGCTCTCCATCTAGCCCCTCCCCCGTCTAGCCTCTTCCTTAGGCGACGCCCCATGCAGCCTCTCCTACCCAATGATGTATGTTCCTCATACAGCTCATTCCCACCACACAGCCACTTTTACAGAGTGCCACCCGTCGCAGTTAGGTTTTTTCAGATGTCACACCACACATCGGCTGCCACCTTCTTTAAGGGGAACTGCCTTTATGTTACTTCTCTTTCTGCAGATGCCGTCTTTTGAATTCTGTCGTCCCTGGTTTTTCTTTTGCTCTTCTCGCACTTTCTTTCACTTTGGCTGTTTGTCGAACTCGTTACGCTTTATTTATCTTTTTTTGTCTTCTTACTCACTGTCGCTCGATCTTTTTTTCTCTCCTTCTCTTTCTCTATCGCTTTCTCTCTCCTTCTTTGTCTCTCCTCTCCCCTGCCTCGCGTTCTCTCGGTCAATCTCTTCTTTTTGCTGCCATGAATATATCTCTCTTCCTCCGCTCATGCACTGACTTTATCACTGTCTCTCTGCGAACTCAATCTCGCACATTTACGGTCTCTTTAATATCGAAGTCTTGTACGCCTCTCTCTTACGTGTGTGTGTGTGTGTGTGTGTGTGTGTGTGTGCTAATCTGTTTGGCTTTGCGAGCAGGGCGTACATGGTTGGTTAGCTGGGGGTTTATTTTTGCTCCGGCGCCGCTGCCGCCGATGCCGTTTCGGGGACGAAATAACAAATCGCGCGGTTTCATGATACAAAAACGTCAAGGCCCATTGGAATGCAATTCTTCCCTTCCCCCGTCGACGCCAGAAACTTGGGACGATTTCCCCGCGATTAGACACTCCTCCTGAACTTTGACCTCCCCGCCAATCTCTCCCCTTCTCCCCCTCTCCCCGTCTCCCCCTCTCTCTGCGCGGGTATAAATAGGGCGCCGATGCAGGCTCGAGCTCGTATTATTGTTTCGACAGTCTCTCGACACGAATG